GATACTGTAAGTCTTGAAATTAATGTGTCTCCAAATTAATATGACTGCTGACCCCCCAGCCGTGTGTGCAGTCAGGCCGTCTTATTGTTGATAGAGAGGGTGTGCGCATGTGTGTGTGTGCGTGTGTGTGTGTGTGTGTGTGTGTGAGAGAGAGAGAGAGAGAGAGAGAGAGAGAGAGAGAGAGAGAGAGAGAGAGAGAGAGAGAGACAGACATACAGAGAGAGAGACAGAAGTGAGAGAGAGAGACAAGTGAGGGATGGAGGGGAGAAAGAGAGAGACAGAGAGAGAGAGAGACAGAGAGAGAAGGGAGCAGAGAGAGTAAGACACAGAGAGAGACACAGACAGACAGACAGAGAGCCAGCAGTGTGAGAGAGAGACAAGTGAGGAATGGAGGGGAGTGAGAGACAGAGACAGAGACAGAGACACACAGAGAGACAGAGAGAGAGAGAAGGGAGCAGAGAGAGAGTAAGACACAGAGAGAGACACAGACAGACAGAGAGACAGAGGTGAGAGAGAGAGACAAGTTAGGGATGGAGGGGGAGGGGGGGGGGAGACACAGACACAGAGAGAGACAGACATAGAGAAAAGCGAGCAGAGAGAGAAAGAGACATACACACAGAGAGACAGACAGACAGACAGACAGAGAGAAGTGAGAGAGAGAGAGAGATTCCTGCTGCTAACCTCTTATAGACAAATATAATCAAATCTCTCGTCCTTTGAACAAACCAAGTGGAGCAGATAAGCCCACATAACGGTCTACTTGAATTGTTGACGGTTTCTCCAACCGAACGCACCACTCCACTCCCTCTATTGGCTCGTTACTTCTGTATTGATTGAGGTCCTGTTGTCTATTTCAGTTATGTCTAGCGAGGTACATTATTTATGAGGGATAGTAACGGACGTTGCAATAACTTGGACATGCAAAAAAACCGATGTTATTACAACATTACGATCACACACCGCACAACACGATCATACAACGCACAACACGATCACACAAAGCACAATACGATCACACATCGCACAACACGATCATACAACGCACAACACGATCACACAAAGCACAATACGATCACACATCGCACAACACGGTCACACAAAGCACAACACGACCACACACCTCACAACACGATCACAACGTACACAACGATCACACAACGCACAACACGATCATATAAAGCACAACACGATCACACATCACACAACACGGTCACACAACACACAACACGATCATACAACGCACAACACGATCACACAAAGCACAACACTATTTCGTGCTTTGAACTTGGTGTTATAGTGTATTAACCGTTTTGACCCGACGGTGTTATTGTATAAAGCAAGTGGTCCTATCGTACAGACCCGACAGTGTTATTGTAAAAAGCAAGTGGTCCTATCGTACAGACTCGAAAGTGTTATTGTATAAAGCAAGTGGTCCTATCGTACAGACCCGACGGTGTTATTGTATAAAGCAAGTGGTCCTATCGTACAGACCCGACAGTGTTATTGTATAAAGCAAGTGGTCCTATCGTACAGACCCGACAGTGTTATTGTATAAAGCAAGGGGCAGTAATCTTAGGCGCAGCGATTCGCTGTGCAGAGTTGCGTCCCTTTGGCACGCCAGAAACCTATGATTGTGGGTTCGAATCCCGGTTCGCCCCAATTCTAGGTTTGTCAGCACCATACCCGTGCTCGTGGGTTTCACGGAAGTGGTAAACGTCTGAGACCTGCATCACTTCGGGCTTTCCTCCCACATTAAGCTGACACGACACGATATAACTGGAATACTGTTAAAGGCGGCGTCAAACCCAACTCACTCACACACTATAAAGCAAGTGGTCCTATCGTACAGACCCGACAGTGTTATTGTATAAAGGTACAGATCAGACTGTGGCTTACAGCGCCAACTAGGACATGACGCCACAGAGCGGTGACAGAGGTTTCACATATGAAATGAGGACATCTGTTACAACCCTATTACGTCTATATGAAGCACTGGTTGAGCCAATAGCAACATATGGTTCAGAGGTGTGGGGCTCTCAACTCATTAAACACCAAGACGTTCTACAAAACTGGTCTAAACAGCAAGTATATTCACTAAGCATCAAGAGTATCTTAGAAGTTCCTCGCAGAACAAGTAACATCAGCTGTATGGCAGAACTTGGACTCTATCCCCTTAACATTTCAATATTCATATCAATGTACAACTATTACCTTCGGCTGTTAGATGTGAAGAATGACAGATTACTCACTGCCGCTTTCAACGAAGACAAAACACTGAACTCATGGACCTCTTCAATAAATATTCTACTCAACTACCTTTTCCCTGATCTGGCTCACAATAACATCTCTTCTGGAAAATTTAAGAAAACTGTACATGAAAAGTTCACATCCTTATACCTTATTGAACCACATAAGCTCAGACACCTCGGGAAAATAGGAGACAAATTCGGGATTAAACCATATCTGAAAGTAACCACCACATTAGAACACCGCAAAGCAGTTACAAGGCTAACACTCAGTGCTCACGATCTTCAAATTGAGAGAGGAAGATACTTCAACACTCCAACAGAAGAGAGATTATGTACCTTCTGCGATTTTGATGAAACAGAAGATGAGGAACACTTCCTGTTGCGATGCCCTCTCTACAAAGATCTGAGAGGAGAACTAAATTCATCAACCGGCTTTGCTATGCACCCACTATCACTAAAAATACTGCTTCTTCTTCTATGGGCACCGGAACTGAACACTGTGGTGAGAGTGAATCCTTGATTCTCTTTTGTGGTTGATAGAAGGCCACCTCCTCTCTCTCACTACTCTCAACCCTACATTGCCTTCACTACTCTCAAACCCCCATTGCCTTCACTACTCTCAACCCCACAGTCGCCTTCACTACTCTCAAACCCACATTGCCTTCACTACTCTCAACCCCACAGTCGCCTTCACTACTCTCAACCCCACAGTCGCCTTCACTACTCTCAAACCCCCATTGCCTTCACAACTCTCAACCCCACAGTCGCCTTCACTACTCTCAAACCCACATTGCCTTCACTACTCTCAACCCCACAGTCGCCTTCACTACTCTCAAACCCCGAATGCCTTCACAACTCTCAACCCCACAGTCGCCTTCACTACTCTCAAACCCACATTGCCTTCACTACTCTCAAACCCACATTGCCTTCACTACTCTCAAACCCACAGTCGCCTTCACTACTCTCAAACCCCGAATGCCTTCACAACTCTCAACCCCACAGTCGCCTTCACTACTCTCAAACCCACATTGCCTTCACTACTCTCAAACCCACATTGCCTTCACTACTCTCAAACCCACACATTCGTCGCCACTCGCCCCTTTCCGTAACCTGCAAGAAGACTCGTCCCCCTATCGATGAATGTTATGTGCGAAAATACGACAAACCAATCAGAATGCGCGTATGATTTCAAGTTCTTCATCAAAGAATCCCTCAAAAATAATTTCTGTTTTTACATATGTCTTGCATCTAAAAATATACCCAAGACACAGTTAAATGTGTTCAATCATACTGTATAATTTCGCATGTCCTGGTGTGCTTTCAATTGCATCTGAAATATAAATGATATGTGGGGAAATGTATGTGAACCATTGCGCAACGAGTTGACAATTGTTTTAGGTATGCCCGTTTGCGCTCAGACGGAACCCGGTCGCAAAAATTGCCACGAGAGGGGCACGAGTCGCTATTCGGCTGGTCCCGGAATAACACGAGTTGGTCACGAATGAACCCCACAGTCGCCTTCACTACTCTCAAACCCCCATTGCCTTCACTACTCTCAAACCCCCATTGCCTTCACTACTCTCAACCCCACAGTCGCCTTCACTACTCTCAAACCCACATTGCCTTCACTACTCTCAATGTGAAGCCCATTTCTGGTGTCCCCCGCCGTGATATTGCTGGAATATTGCTAAAAGCGGCGTAAAACCATACTCACTCACTCACTCACTACTCTCAAACCCACATTGCCTTCACTACTCTCAAACCCACAGTCGCGATGCGTGCTTCCTTGATATTTGACAGGGTGAACGGTTAAACTCCAAGGCTTCAGCTTGGACTTGACACGAGGAACTCATGACACGGACCTCAAAGAAGGCCTATTGCTTCGCCTGTCCATGGGGTGGGGAGGCTGGTTTGTCGAAAGAAATATTTACAAACAGCTGTTGAACGTAGGGTGTACTGAAACGCCCACAATCTAATGAAGTGGTAGTTTAAAGAGGAAATACGGCATATCTTTCATGAAAGGCTTATTTTTAAATGACAAGAAGTCAATTTCTTTGATGAAGATTCTAAAAAAGGTGATAATATTGCTAAGCTGGAGCTATGTCCGTTGGTGTCGGCAATACTCGACAGTTTCCGTATCGGTCCGGTAATCGGTGCCGTCATGTATCGGGTCAAGATAACACCACCCCCAGAGCATATTTACCGCCAGGATAGGCGCCTGGGTTTCATTAACAGGTGGTGATTGCCGCAAATATGCCGACCTTGGTGTGCAAACATCCATCCGCATGGTATGGCTCATACCAGTTTAGTAATTGACGCGGGGTTGCTAAAGAAACGTCCATTCTGCAAATATTAAGATAAAAGATGGGTGATGAAGGCTATCTCGACAATAAAGCGTAAATTGAGCTCAGTTTTATGAGATGACCCCTGCCAATCACTTGATGGGTATTGCTATCGATCACATCGCGCGTGCTCCTTATTCCAGGGACTAACATCGTCCATTAAAGCGATCTAATACTCTAAATTTACTTTCAGTGTTTGTGGGTCGGGGTGGTGTTATGGAAGGTGTTATGAAATATACGTGTACAATGTCCGTGTGCGTCTTTTATGTGCCTCTCTATATTGCCTGAGAAGGGGATAACAGTGTTATCTTGTATACGGTAAGGGAGTTATCTGGTACTGAGAGTCGGGCAGACGGGAGCCGTGTTTTTATACTAACTTAGGAATGGAAGCGAATTACATGCTTCATCTTTATTGCATCACGTTGTAGTGCATTATGTCGTAGTGCATGATGTTGCACTGCATGATGGTGTAGTGCATGCCGTTGTAGTGCATGACGGTGTAGTGCATGATGGTGTATTGCATCACGTTGTAGTGCATGATGGTGTAGTGCATCACGTTGTAGTGCATGACGGTGTAGTGCATGACGGTGTAGTGCATGACTGTGTAGTGCATCACGTTGTAGTGCATGACGGTGTAGTGCATCACGTTGTAGTGCATGACGGTGTAGTGCATGACGGTGTAGTGCATGACGGTGTAGTGCATCACGTTGTAGTGCATGACGGTGTAGTGCATCACGTTGTAGTGCATGACGGTGTAGTGCATCACGTTGTAGTGTATGAGGGTGTAGTGCATCACGTTGTAGTGCATGACGGTGTAGTGCATGACGTTGTAGTGTATGAGGGTGTAGTGCATCACGTTGTAGTGCATGACGGTGTAGTGCATGATGGTATAGTGCATCACGTTGTAGTGCATGGTGGTGTAGTGCATCACGTTGTAGTGCATGACGGTGTAGTGCATGACGGTGAAGTGCATGATGGTGTAGTGCTTCACGTTGTAGTGCATGACGGTGTAGTGCATCACGTTGTAGTGCATGACGGTGTAGTGCATGATGGTGTATTGCATCACGTTGTAGTGCATGGTGGTGTAGTGCATCACGTTGTAGTGCATGACGGTGTAGTGCATCACGTTGTAGTGCATGACGGTGTAGTGCATGACGGTGAAGTGCATGATGGTGTAGTGCTTCACGTTGTAGTGCATGACGGTGTAGTGCATCACGTTGTAGTGCATGACGGTGTAGTGCATCACGTTGTAGTGTATGAGGGTGTAGTGCATCACGTTGTAGTGTATGAGGGTGTAGTGCATCACGTTGTAGTGCATGACGGTGTAGTGCATGACGGTGTAGTGCATCACGTTGTAGTGCATGACGGTGTAGTGCATCACGTTGTAGTGCATGACGGTGTAGTGCATGACGGTGTAGTGCATGATGGTGTAGTGCATCACGTTGTAGTGCATGACGGTGTAGTGCATCACGTTGTAGTGCATGACGGTGTAGTGCATGACGGTGTAGTGCATCACGTTGTAGTGCATGGTGGTGTAGTGCATCACGTTGTAGTGCATGACGGTGTAGTGCATGGCGGTGCAGTGCATCACGTTGTAGTGCATGACGGTGTAGTGCATCACGTTGTAGTGCATGACGGTGTAGTGCATCACGTTGTAGTGCATGACGGTGTAGTGCATCACGTTATATCTAGTAATTGTATTGTTTGGGATTTCTAACGGTACAGCTGCCGCTGTCATTTGGGCCGATGGCCTACTCCGCTAGGGAAACACGGACCCAAAGACGCCGAACTTCAGGGGTTTTGTGTGTGAATGTTGTCGCATGGTGCACGTGCATCGCGAGAAGTATTGCAGGTGCGGTCTCCTGAACCAAGAGTGACTTAACTGTCCCCTGTGAAGATCGTATCACTGACATTTAACAGCTGCTATTTTGAACATGTTGTGTGGGCACACTCAACTCAATATCCTTTGAGATATATACACATCTATCACGAGTTAAATTTATGTTAACAATAATACTGTCTGCGGAGGCTGAAATTGCTTCGGCAAGTAACGATGAAATTGTAGAGCCAAACACATAAAATATCAAACAATTTGGTAAAATGATAAAACATACCTTGCAATAGGAACAAGAGGTAGAATGTCTATCATAAAATATATTATATCATTGTCTTTATATCATTGCACTTTCTGCATGCACGCTTCATATTCATGCACATCAGTATCATTAAAAACTATGAAAGAAGCTGAATAGGACAACGCTAATTACATTTCAATCCGTCAATTTGGAACAAAACGCGGGGCTCTGCAACTTATATGTACAATATGTCAATTACATCTCGTCATTGAGGAAACAAGGAACAGAAATGCGCGAAACTTGATTTGAACACACGAACAGCGGATCCTGGTAGCTAAGGGGCGCAACTCTGTATAGCGAACCTTACGTCAGTGTTCATAGGGATTATACTTTCAGATTTGGCGCTTGTAACTTTGAATAGTTTTATAAACTGACGGTCCAAAGAAACTTTACCACTTTAAAAATTGCAAAAATGAAATTGAAAATGAAATGAAATTGCAAAAATTTAAAAACACAAGTTTAAACAAGTTCAATGCAAAACACATCGTCCAAACACAACAATGCTCTATGGAGAAAGTGATACACGTCAACGACGGTTTTTTGTGTGCAAAAAGCGAAAAAGTGAAAAACACGTGCCGCTTGAGCAGCCGAAACTACACGTGCAATAAGTGTATATAAATGATACGGACGGCATGTCAGACATTCACGCTGATAAATAAACACCGGAGAAATGCCACGACTGACACCCGAACAACGCGAGCGGGTCCTGGGTATGATACAGATGGGAGCCATAACTTCTGGTTGCTTCCATGCTGCTGTAACTAACCTGATGCAATGTTACAGACAGAACGGGCAGACAGCAGACAAGCCAACAGGCAGACGTAGGGTAACTACGCTCAATGAAGACCGGTATATGCGTGCATCTTCAGAATTGATTCCTGACAGTGACGTCATCAGCGACGAACGCCTATCAGCGACAGACAGTGTCAAGGCGACATTAAGGAATGGGGGCAAGCAGATTTACAGAAGACAGTTATTGACAACGCAACATCGTCGTCAGAGATTGAGATGGGCCCGGACTGTACGTCGTTGGCAGCGACGTGACTTGCAGAGGGTTGTCTTCACTACTGAAAGCCGGTACTGTCTGATCAAAGCTGATGGAAGGCCGCGTGTTTACTTTAAGGGGAGACCGCCTCCGTGGTCTAGTGGTAGAGCGTCCGCCCGGAGAGCGGAAGGTCCAGGGTTCGATCCCGGGCCGCGTCATACAAAAAGACGTTAAAAGATTGTACTTGTTGTTACCCTGTCTGGCGCTCGACATTAAGGGGCTAAAACAAGGACTGGTCGGCTCGGAGTCAGTATACTGTGTCTGAGTGGGGTATTCATGTTAAACTGCGGCATGGTATCTCAGTGAGCTAGCACTATAAATCGGCATCAGTCCGGACTAGTACAAGCAGCCACACACACACATACACGTGCATGCACGTCGCTATATAAGTGCAATAATCTTGGACGCGACGTTAAACCCAATTTCACCTCACCTCACTACTTTAAGGGGAGAACGAACGGCGGCATGTTGCGTTTGTTACCCAAGCTATCCATACTGTTACCCAAGCTGTCCATACTGTTACCCAAGCTGTCCATACTGTAACCCAAGCTGTCCATACTGTTACCCAAGCTATCCATACTGTTACCCAAGCTGTCCATACTGTTACCCTAGCTGTCCATTTTGTTACCCAAGCTGTCCATACTGTAACCCAAGCTGTCCATACTGTAACCCAAGCTGTCCATACTGTTACCCAAGCTATCCATACTGTTACCCAAGCTATCCATACTGTTACCCAAGCTGTCCATATTGTTACCCAAGCTGTCCATACTGTTACCCAAGCTGTCCATATTGTAACCCAAGCTGTCCATACTGTTACCCAAGCTATCCATACTGTTACCCAAGCTGTCCATACTGTCACCCAAGCTGTCCATACTGTTACCCAAGCTGTCCATATTGTTACCCAAGCTATCCATACTGTTACCCAAGCTATCCATACTGTTACCCAAGCTGTCCATACTGTTACCCAAGCTGTCCATGCTGTTACCCAAGCTGTCCATTTTGTTACCCAAGCTGTCCATACTGTTACCCAAGCTGTCCATACTGTAACCCAAGCTGTCCATATTGTTACCCAAGCTGTCCATACTGTTACCCAAGCTGTCCATGCTGTTACCCAAGCTGTCCATTTTGTTACCCAAGCTGTCCATGCTGTTACCCAAGCTATCCATACTGTTACCCAAGCTATCCATGCTGTTACCCAAGCTGTCCATTCTGTTACCCAAGCTGTCCATACTGTTACCCAAGCTGTCCATACTGTTACCCAAGCTGTCCATACTGTTACCCAAGCTATCCATACTGTTACCCAAGCTATCCATACTGTTACCCAAGCTATCCATGCTGTTACCCAAGCTGTCCATACTGTTACCCAAGCTGTCCATACTGTTACCCAAGCTGTCCATACTGTTACCCAAGCTGTCCATATTGTTACCCTAGCTATCCATACTGTTACCCGAGCTGTCCATATTGTTACCCAAGCTATCCAAACTGTTACCCAAGCTGTCCATACTGTTACCCAAGCTGTCCATATTGTTACCCAAGCTATCCATACTGTTACCCAAGCTGTCCATACTGTTACCCAAGCTGTCCATACTGTTACCCAAGCTGTCCATGCTGTTACCCAAGCTGTCCATGCTGTTACCCAAGCTGTCCATTTTGTTACCCAAGCTATCCATACTGTTACCCAAGCTGTCCATATTGTTACCCAAGCTGTCCATACTGTTACCCAAGCTGTCCAAGCTGTTACCCAAGCTGTCCATACTGTTACCCAAGCTGTCCATACTGTTACCTAAGCTGTCCATATTGTTACCCAAGCTGTCCATACTGTTACCCAAGCTGTCCATACTGTTACCCAAGCTGTCCATATTGTTACCCAAGCTGTCCATACTGTTACTCAAGCTGTCGATACTGTTACCCAAGCTGTCGATACTGTTACCCAAGCTTTCCATGCTGTTACCCAAGCTGTCCATGCTGTTACCCAAGCTGTCCATGCTGTTACCCCAGCTTTTAAACTGTGTTAACCCCCTCAGTGTTAACCCCGTCAGTGCAACGCCCCTCTCTTCAGTGTAACCCCGACACCCTCAGTGTATTCCCGACACCTTCAATGCAACCCCTCTACCCTCAGTGTAACCCCTCTACCCTCAGTGTAACCCCCCCCCCCACACACACACACACACACAACACACACACTCAGTGTAAACGTCTGGGACCTGCATCACTTCGGTCTTGCCTCCCTCATCACGAGGTTATATAAATGGAATACTGTTCAAAGCGGCGTTAAAAACCAACTCACTCACTCATGGAGGCACGTAGCGTATACAAAACTGGAAAAGTATTGACCACGCACCTACTGCTCCCCATCTGGCCTGTCACTGTCAAGACCCCGAATTACTCTCTAACGATAATCTCCATCGCCTTCATCTGCAGTGTCTGAAACAGATAGGTATCACGTCCCTCTCATTAACTCCCCTCCCCAGTCTGTGTGAGGATCTCCACCGGCTGGGGCGGCTATCAGGCATTGCCATTGATTTCTGCAGCGAGACAGCTAATTCTGTTACTGGTGACATTGGGCCGGTGTCTCTGCTAGTTTCGTTACTTCCAGCACCCTGGCGTTCCATCAGTGCCCGTGACGTGTGATTGATGCCCAGGAGTAGATACAACACCGTCACCGAAGATCCACACATTTGTCCACTGGCGAGTCGGGTCACCCTCAGTGTAACCCCCGGCACACTCCGCTGTAAGCCCCGACACACTCAGTGTAACCCCCCGACACCCTCAATGTAACACCCGACACCCCTCAGTGTAACCCCCGACACCCTCAGTGTAAACCCCCTCAGTGTAACCCCTGACACCCATCAGTGTAACCCCGACACCCTCAGTGTAGCCCCGACACCCTCAGTGTAACCCCTGACACCCATCAGTGTAACCCCAACACCCTCAGTGTAGCCCCGACACCCTCAGTGTAACCCCTGACACCCATCAGTGTAACCCCGACACCCTCAGCGTAACCCCGACACCCTCAGTGTAACCCCGACACCCTCAGTGTAACCCCGACACCCTCAGTGTAGCCCCTGACACCACTCAGGGTAACCCCGACACCCTCAGTGTAACCCCGACACCCTCAGTGTAACCCCTGACACCCCTCAGTGTAACCCCCCTCCCCTCAGTGTTAACCCCCTCAGTGTAAACCCCTCAGTGTAACACCCCTCAGTGTAAACCCCCTCAGTTTCAACCCTGACACCCCTCAGTGTAACCCTCGGCACCCTCAGTGTAACCCCCGACACCCTCAGTGTAACCCCCTCTCTTCAATGCAACCCCGACACCTTTAGTGTAATCCCCCTCCCCTCGTTGTAACCCCGACACCCTCAGTGTAGCCCCCGACACTCTCAATATAACCCCGACACCCTCAGTTTTACCCCCCACCCCCGACACCCTCAGTGTAATCCCCGACACTCTCAATATAACCCCGACACCCTCAGTGTTACCCCCCACCCCCGACACCCTCAGTGTAATTCCCGACACCCTCAGTGTAACCCCCTCTCTTCAGTGTAACCCCGACACCTTCAATGCTAACCCGACACCCTCAGTGTAACCCCCTCCCCTCGTTGTAACCCCGACACTATCAGTGTAACCCCGACATCCTCAGTGTAACCCACCTCAGTGTAAGCCCGACACCTTCAATGTAACCCCGACACCTCAGTGTAACACCCGACACCCCTCAGTGTAACCCCCGACACCCTCAGTGTAGCCCCGACACCCTCATGTAACCCCTGACACCCATCAGTGTAACCCCGACACCCTCAGTGTAACCCCTGACACCCATCAGTGTAACCCCGACACCCTCAGTGTAACCCCTGACACCCATCAGTGTAACCCCAACACCCTCAGTGTAGCCCCGACACCCTCAGTGTAACCCCTGACACCCATCAGTGTAACCCCGACACCCTCAGCGTAACCCCGACACCCTCAGTGTAACCCCGACACCCTCAGTGTAACCCCGACACCCTCAGTGTAGCCCCTGACACCACTCAGGGTAACCCCGACACCCTCAGTGTAACCCCGACACCCTCAGTGTAACCCCTGACACCCCTCAGTGTAACCCCCCTCCCCTCAGTGTTAACCCCCTCAGTGTAAACCCCTCAGTGTAACACCCCTCAGTGTAAACCCCCTCAGTTTCAACCCTGACACCCCTCAGTGTAACCCTCGGCACCCTCAGTGTAACCCCCGACACCCTCAGTGTAACCCCGACACCCTCAGTGTAACCCCCTCTCTTCAATGCAACCCCGACACCTTTAGTGTAATCCCCCTCCCCTCGTTGTAACCCCGACACCCTCAGTGTAGCCCCCGACACTCTCAATATAACCCCGACACCCTCAGTGTTACCCCCCACCCCCGACACCCTCAGTGTAATCCCCGACACTCTCAATATAACCCCGACACCCTCAGTGTTACCCCCCACCCCCGACACCCTCAGTGTAATCCCCGACACCCTCAGTGTAACCCCCTCTCTTCAGTGTAACCCCGACACCTTCAATGCTAACCCGACACCCTCAGTGTAACCCCCTCCCCTCGTTGTAACCCCGACACTATCAGTGTAACCCCGACATCCTCAGTGTAACCCACCTCAGTGTAAGCCCGACACCTTCAATGTAACCCCGACACCTCAGTGTAACACCCGACACCCCTCAGTGTAACCCCCGACACCCTCAGTGTAACCCCCCTCCCCTCAGTGTAAGCCAGACACCTTCAATGTAACCCCGACACCATCAGTGTAACCCCCCTCACCTTCAATGTAACCCCGACACCATCAGTGTAACCCCCCTCCCCTCAGTGTAAGGTCGACACCTTCAATGTAACCCCGATACCATCAGTGTAACCCCCCTCACCTTCAATGTAACCCCGACACCCTCAGTGTAACCCCCCTCCCCTCAGTGTAAGCTCGACACCTTCAATGTAACCCCGATACCATCAGTGTAACCCCCCTCACCTTCAATGTAACCCCGACACCATCAGTGTAACCCCCCTCCCCTCAGTGTAAGCTCGACACCTTCAATGTAACCCCGTTACCATCAGTGTAACCCCCCTCACCTTCAATGTAACCCCGACACCCTCAGTGTAAGCCCCCTCCCCTCAGTGTAAGCCCGACACCTTCAATGTAATCCCGATACCATCAGTGTAACCCCCCTCCCCTCAGTGTAAGCCAGACACCTTCAATGTCACCCCGATACCATCAGTGTAACCCCCCTCACCTTCAATGTAACCCCGACACCATCAGTGTAACCCCCCTCACCTTCAATGTAACCCCGACACCATCAGTGTAACCCCCCTCTCCTCAGTGTAAGCTCGACACCTTCAATGTAACCCCGACACCCTCAGTGTAACCCCCCTCACCTTCAATGTAACCCCGACATCCTCAGTGTAACCCCCCTCCCCTCAGTGTAAGCCCGACACCTTCAATGTAACCCCGATACCATCAGTGTAACCCCCCTCCCCTCAGTGTAAGCCCGACACCTTCAATGTAACCCCGATACCATCAGTGTAACCCCCCTCACCTTCAATGTAACCCCGACACCCTCAGTGTAACCCCCCTCCCCTCAGTGTAAGCCCGACACCTTCAATGTAACCCCGATACCATCAGTGTAACCCCCCTCACCTTCAATGTAACCCCGACACCCTCAGTGTAACCCCCCTCCCCTCAGTGTAAGCCCGACACCTTCAATGTAACCCCGACGCCCTCAGTGGAACCCCCCTCCCCTCAGTGTAAGCCCGACACCCCTCACACCGACTCCAACGTGTTAAGCAATGCAGCGGGAGAGACTTCAGTGTCAAATCTAATCGTTGTAGCTGATTTCGCTGTCTGTAACACCAATACATCGAACATACTGAAACAATACACAACATTGGCCTGTATTATGCTTTGTTTGTTTGGGGTAATAAACAACAGACTCCTTATGAACAGTTCATCAGCTTCGTATGGCAAACTCAGAAACTGTCAAATCCGGTCTTATTCATGATCGCTTCTGATGGCACTCGACTTGAAATAATCACTAAGGGATCAACCAATTGATATTCTGGGGTGTGGGGACCTAGAAATGTGAATGGAAACAGATATCTGTTCAGCTACAGCTGCAAAACAAGATATTTTCTTAATAAAAACTATGAGCCAAAATATGTTGTTTTCTGAAAAAGACAGACCAATGTTTTTTTTGTGCTGGACAATTTCTTCGTTTTTTCAACAGTCTGAAGGGTAGTTAGTTTTTTCAAGAATTGTCGGGGACAATTTATTATGTTCGATAAAATGCCTAACAACCAGTCAGGCAAAATATAATTTATGACTTTTTTCAAGATTTCAAAAGATATATTTTTCTGTTGTAACATTATTTTATTGTTAACAATAATTGATATTTTAACAATATGCGACATTTCATTGTTAACAATAATTGATATTTTAACAATATCTTGTTGACGCTCACGTTAACCTCGCAAGGGTGTGACAAATGTGACACTTCGGCAGTGGTACCACCCCCCCGGAAGCCATGAGCTTATAAGACTTTTACGACTTTTTCTTAGGTGAGGTGAAATTTGGTTTAACGTCGCGTCCAAGATTATTGCACTTATATAGCGACGTGCATGTACGGGTGTGTGTGTTTATGTGGCTGCTTGTACTAGTCCGGACTGATGCCGATTTATATTGCTAGCTCACTGAGATACCATGCCGCAGTTTAACATGAATACCCCACTCAGACACAGTATACTGACTCCGAGCCGACCAGTCCTTGTTTTAGCCCCTTAATGCCGAGCGCCAGACAGGGTAACAAGAAGTAAAATCTTTTAACGTCTTTTTGTATGACGCGGTCGGGGATCTTTTTCTTAGAGAAGAGTTTAATGTTGTTTACCATCCAGAATAACGTAAGTCAAGACACGTGTTGCCAAAACAACTTAAGTCTGACTTTGGCCATTTTCGACAATGCAAAATACTTTCATTGTTTTT